CAAGGAAAACAGGGAGAATGACAACTTCCAATGAGCTCCACTTGCCTCACTAAATACTCAGGATTAGAAAAGTTAGGACTGTTTTTGGAATGTACCTGTTAATCAGATGGCCTAAAGTCACCTCCACGATAAACGGTTTTAGGCTGAAACATTTCTCTCCCATTGAGATGCTGGTGGAGGATAAGTTCCTGTCTTTGATACAGTGGCTGCAGATGCTGGCATTTGGCAGACCTGGGGTCAGTCCTGCCTGTTATCTACAGATTAGTATCAATATGACTTCGAGCATGTGACCAAATATTATGGGTTTGTTTCCTCATGTGAAAATGGAGATAGTATTAGAACTCATCTTACAGGGCTTTTGTTAAGGTGTGTTAGGATGACATATGTGCAGGGCTAAGCCTGGCCTCTATTACATAGAAAGCACTCAATGAATCAAAAACGTTATAACTATTGTCATTGTATATATATGATATCCTTCACATCTGAATAAAAATAGCCTTCTCTAGTTTTACAGCTGTTTTCTCAACTTCTTTTTAAGTATCTCCTAAGAAATGAGTCAGTAAAAAATCCCTATTTCTAAATGCTGCTCTTTAAATAAGGAATGCAGAACTCCCTCTGCTAAAAGAAAAGCCAAAAATTAGTTAAATTAATCACACTGTTTATAAATAATTATTTAAGCAACATGAGGCAAGACTTGTTTCCTGGGTACATCATGCCCTGTGCTGAACAGTTGGACTGTTATTTTGAATAAGCCTTCTGGCTTCCAGATCACCTGTAGGCATTTCTTTGACCAACATAAAAGATGCTAACCATACCACACAAGCTGAGTACACTGTGTGTGTATTTGTTTTCTCTCTTTTGCTCTGTAGGTATACCTCCCCTCAGGGTGCTAGAGTTCTATGTATCAGCCCTCTGAGGTTGGCACCCACAGTGAAGAAGGATTATGCATGCTTGTCTTACGCAGAGCAAGCCCCAAATAATGTTAAAATCTTGAAATGCCCAGAGTGGTATATCTGAGGTCAAGAATGGAGGCAGTATGGTAGGAGGTACTGGTCCTCCATCCTGCCTGCATGTTAGAGCTACTTGGGAGCTCTTAAATAATACCTGGGCTCCATGTACAGAGATGCTGTTTTATTTGGTCTGGTTGGAGACCAGAAATCCATATATTTTAAAAGCTCTGTTGAACAGCAGGGTTGAGAATCACCAGTATACTGGAAAGAGCAGGATTCCTGTCTTCTAATCCCTTATTGATCACTAATCAGACCTCATCCTTAGCAGTAATAAAATGAGGAAATTGAATTAGATGATGCTCTCAGTAGGCCTAGATTCATATCTTAGACTACGGAGATCATGTGAGTTTAAAGCCATAGTTCTCAACTGATGTGATTTTGTTTATCAAGGAACATTTGGCAATATCTGGAGGCATTTTTGGTTGTCACAACTGGCAAGTCACTGGCATTCAGTGGTAGGAGGCCAGGGTTGTTGGTAAAAATCTGATAGTACACGGGGACAGCTCTCCACAATAAGTAATTTCCTGACCCAAATTTTCAAGACTCTGCCAAGGTTAAAATAAAAACCCTAATTTAAACTAGTCACCTAGGTTTTACAACAGAGAATTTCTTGTCATTGCCAGGGAACAGTAGGAGAGTCTTCAACAATGCTAGGAAGCACAGCCTCTGTACCATTTGGGTCTTTTTAAGCCCTTACCATTCTCAAGACAAGATGAGCCCCATAGAAGATGATCAGAGCTCTCCCTGGGAGAAAGGGTACTGAACTTCCATGGCTGGAGTGTTGGCAGTAACCTTGCAGATAAGCCTTTCCACAAGGCAGGCTCTATGCTCTTGTTCTCTTACAGCATGTACTTGGCAAGGACACAGCCCTCCCAATTTAGTCAGAGCAGCTGTTCAGGAAGGAATCGCCTCCAAAGCACACTAAGAGACCCACTGGAAAACCGTACCCCATGGAAATGTGTGTTTGCTCCATAGTGAAATGATGTAGGTCCCAGGCCTATGAAGCGGTAGGAGCTTATCTTAAAAGGAAATGACAAGTGGGAGTATTCTTGGAAGAAGGTAAATACCATGACTTTTTTCCTGCAGGTTCATGATATATGAAGAACAGTGGAAGAAACAAGGGATGCTGGGCTTAGAGAAAAGAAAACTCAGATCATAAGCATTGTTTTTTTATAGTTAAAGGACTGCTGTGGGAAAATGACATCTGATTTGTTCTTCATGGAATGAAATGATAGAAATAGGATACAAAGAATTAAGGTTATAAGAATTCAAATTTTAGTCCAAAGTAGAATAGATGGCCTTACTCAGGGAGTTCCTACTAGAGTGGAAAAAGAAAATTGGATGACAGATGACCAGTTAAAAGTGCTGACTGCCTGTCAGCCACCAGTCAGAATTTCTGAGGAAGGGGTAAGATATTGAATGAGATGTTCTTAGATCTATGAGTTCCAGAATCACAGGCATCTTCTCACAATTCAGCTAAAATACAGGAAAGAACAAAATCTACTTCAGTCTTCTCATTTGGTTGAAGCTGGAGAACACCTGGAAAGATTATCTGTGACTAGAGATGTTGTAAGTGATAATGGAAATTTCAGGGGACTTTCTGTCTTCTTTTGATGATTCTTCTAGCAATCTGTGGCAGGTGGGAAATTTAGACACTTCTAAAGGAGACAGTCATCCAAAGTTCTATAGATGCTCAGTAGTATAGAAGTGATTTAATACCTGAAATTGCACTTGGGGAAGATATTAGTCCTACCCATAGGTCAAGATAATTTTTTGTTGTTTGGACCTTGAATATTAATGGAATTACTGCTTAAAGATTTGCAACGAAATGGAGTTGGTATTAAGAAGGCCTCTCCTCCTTTTTTTCATACAGAGACAGTTAGGACAAGGTCTTCAGCCTCTGAAAAGCACAGGCAGCATCCTAGCCTGGGAGGAACCTGTTTACCATTGAAGAAGTTTAGTGTTAGGGATAAAAGCACAGGAGTTAGTATTTGATAAATCCATTTGCTTCTGGTCCTGCTTCCTTGAAGCTAAGTGATTCTGGGTATGCTAACTAATATCTTTCTGAGCAAAATAAGGGCAAAGATGGTTCTGACCTAATAAGACAGTTGTGAGGCTTGTATGGATACTGTGCACACAGAGCCTGGGGCACATCAAATTATTGATAAGTTGTATTCTCTTAATCGTAATCATCCTCCTCCTATAAGACAAAAAGGCAGGAACAAGCCTTCTATTTCTAAAACACTGGTTCACTCTCAGAATAGGGTATGAAAGAAATGGCATGTTGTCAAAAATAACCATTAAGTCTTCCTGAAAAAGAACAGGGTAATTCCTAGGTAGTGGGCTGGTGAAGAGGAGGAAGCATGCTTCAATTGCAAGGAGGCAAATTGAGGGGTAAGGGGGCATGCAGAAAGTTCACACTTCTGTCCTTCTGGGAATGCTGCAAAGTCTTTAATCCTGGAGCAGGGAGCCTCATCAGATGGCCTCTCCTTATAGAAACAGACTGAGCACACTCTGCGTTATATTCAACCAAAGTGCCAGGAATCGACTTTTCACAAAATTATTTCTGAATTGCTGTTTCTCTTTTCCATGCCTATTTCAGGTTATTTTTAACAAGATTCTTAGAAACATTTCACAGTTAGAATTGCTCTTGAAGAGTTTTTTTATTCTCTAAGAAATGAGTGAATCCTTATTTTGATAAACCTGACAAACAAATATATTTGGTGTCTGCTCATGTTCTTTTATGAGCAGACTCTCCTCTTCTTTGCTGGCTGGTACAATTTTATTTTTCCCTCTGTTTGTAAAATGGCATGTCTATCTTTGAGTTTCTTTTTTATTTTTTAAATATTTATGCTTTAGTTGTAATTGGACACAATACCTTTATTTTATATATTTATTTTTATGAGGTGTTGAGAATTGAACCCAGGGCCTCACAAGCACTCTTCTGCTGATTCACATTCCCAGCACTTATCTTTGAATATCTGAATTTAAGGAAAGAAGTATGTGGGTCTTTGTGTATGTATAAATACATACACACACAGACATGTATGTGTAAGCACACATGAACACATACCTATACACTCATATATGCACATATATATATATGGATTGTCATGTGTAATAAGTAGTTACTTAGGTACTATTATCCCCATTTCACTTATGGGGAAACAGATTCAGAGAGATGAAATAACTTGGCCAAGGTCTCATAATTGGTGAGTGGTAGGAGTAGGATTCTAACACATGTCCTTCTGATTTCAAAGTCCTTATTAATAGTCATTATGTTCCTTGATAGTTAACTCAAAACTCTTGCAAGAAGGCAGAGCTGTTGATTCTCAGTTATGGAAACAGCATCAGAAGTGATCTGGCCAAATAACCCAGCTGTGTTAGTCAGCTCCTCATCATGAATACTGACTTCATTAATTTACAAAGAGAAAAGTTTGTTTCGGCATAGTTTTGGACATTCCAGTCTATGATTGAGTATTCCCATCCCTTTGGGTCTGTGGCAAGGTAGTACATTATGGTCAGAGCAAGTAGCAGAGCAAAACTGATGACTTCATTAGCCAGGAAATAAGAGGGAAAGAGAAACAGCAAGGTCCCACAGTCCCCATCAAGGACACTCCCCCAGTAACCTAAGACCCTCCTAGGAGGCCCTGCTTCCTAAACATTCCAACACCTTTTAATAGCGCCAATCTGGGGAAGAAGCCTTTAACACGTGAACTTTGGGGGAACATTTAATGTCCAAACTCTAGCACCAACCAATAAAGTGATCTCTTCTACAACTCTTTTGCTAGGTAATTGTGTATTTCTACTCCTAATAAGGGATAGTTTGTTATTATCCAAGGAATTCTATTGTTCCACCAGTTATAGTTGTTGCAAAATTTGGTTAAATCTTACTTTCCTGCATCTTAGTATCATGAATGATTAAAATCTTATTGGTAGAAGTGATAACAGAGTTCAAGTAATGCAGTGGTTTTTAAACTTTTCTTTCAGGTGTAGTAACCTTCTTTTTAAATGGAATCTTATTGGTAAGTATGAACAATAAAAAGGAACTGTTTTAATCAAAACAGGTATTGGTATGAAGTTGTTTATGCACATAATTATGACGAGGTCTCAATCCATGCAATGTCTACAATGGAAATTTCAGGAGCTTATTTGACTAAGTCTTGTAAAAATTTTAAAAAAAAAACCTGAAATAAATTGCTGAACCCAATATTTTATAGAAAAAAACTTGAGGTTCAGAGGATGTAAGTTTGCTTAAGGTGATATAGCAGAAGAACTCCTTTGTCCAACTCCTTGTCCAACTTCTCACCTACTCATTCATTCATCAATTCATACATTGCCTTATTATTACATGCCTAAATAGGGTTCAGAGACATTGATCTAGGTGGTTGGAATATAGTAGAGATGTATGTAGACACTATCCCTGCAGTTAAGAAGCATGGCCAAGCTTTTACTTTCCCACTTCTTTTTTATGGTCCAAGCCTTCCCCTTAGAACAGACACACACACACACACACACACACACACACACACACACACACACACACACCCACACCACATGCACATTAGTCAGACCATTCTGGGCAACTTCCTTATTCAATTCAGTTCTTCTATGACTATTGGAAAGTGTATACTACATTGAGCACAAGCCCATCCAAGTATTTTGGGAATTTGGGGAGCTCTTTCCTTGACAGGGTGCAGATTATAACTTATTTTTTTTATGAATCTGTTTTCCTTTGGGGACTGTGTCTGATATGAACATGGAGAGAGAAGCTGTTTTGCATGCTACCACTCAAGAGGATAGAAAGGCCGTTAACACATGTGGGATTTAGATGGCAAATGCCAGCTGGATTGGGTTGTATTAGAGTAACCTTGAGCTGTGATAGTGTGGCTTACAGTGAGCTAGTAATGAAAGGCATATGAAACCCTTTTGGCCTTACCCAATCTCTGTTTCCAGCTCATTTCCCTCTGTTCTGTTCTCCCCACCTCCCCCTGTAGCCCTGCTGCCTTCACCTAACTCTTTATGCAATAAACATACAAGATTGTTCAGCTTTCCCCCAGATAAATAGTGAGTTCTCCTGCTGCTGACCATTTGGCTGCCTCAAATGCTGTCTCCCTTTCCTGCCTTGCACAAGCCCAACTAATATTTCTTCCAGGCACAGTTCCAGTATGATCTCTCTGAACTTTCCTCATCCCAGACCCTCCATCTCTGAGCAAGAATTTATCACTTCTTCCTCTGGACTTTTGCCATTTGCTTCTTCTTTAAAAAGCTGAGTTCATCCCATGAGACTTTAAATATTTTTATGCACCTCATTTACCTGGAAAGCAGCTTGCGACCAGTGTCGGGTGGTTGAGGGTGCCTGTGGTGGTGGTTCAGTGATGCTGAATTCAGATCCCAGCTCCACTGCCCCCTAGAGTTCTACCTGGGCAATAGGGTTTTTTCCTGAGGGGCTGTTTTGTTTGGCGTGTGTAGTTCTAAAAATAAAGTTAGTTTCTTTTGACAAGTGGCTCCCGAATTGTGCCCAGCCAGACTGAGGCATTTTTGGTGGCCCATACGGGGATCGAACCCGCGACCTTGGCGTTATCAGCACCAAGTTTGTTGGCCTCAATCTACTCAACAAGAGTGGCAAATAATAAAACTTACATGACAGGAATGTCATAAAGATTTTATGAGGTAATCTATAGATCTTATACAGTAGTCTGCATCACTCAATAAATGTTTGCTGTTTTTACTGTAAATCTACGGCTTAAAGACATTTTCTTCTGAATATTTTTAGAATCTCTCATGTTGAAATGATTCAGGAAAAAAAAGAGACACACACAGTTTGACCCACACAAAGACAAAGTTCTAATCTCTTTATTTGTTAGTTAGGAACTGTGATAGACAATGGTGAAAAAACTCACGAGGAGATTGCCTTGACTATTCAGTTATATATGCACATTGGGAAATAGGGACAAGATATATTGAGATTAGAATAGGTCACCCTTGGTCTTGCACTTTGGCATGTTGGGACAAAGACATATCTGAGGCTAGTGATTAAAAGAGAACCTAGAAATATAGTTTTCTCCAGAGGCCTCAAGGATTGGTATCCCAAACTGTGCAAACTAAGCTATGTGGAATCCCTTCTGCAAGTCACGCAAAATAGTAGAAAGAACAGTGACCTAATAAGCCCTGGTGTCTGCCCTAAAGATGTGTTGTTTTCTGGAATGAATTGCCCTTTGCAATTTGGTTTTCTCATCTGTCTGATAGGGGCTTTTTGTTTTCATACTACTTTCACGATTTTTTAAAACATACTGACCTTCTACCCATGCTAATATTTATTTGTTATTTTTCTTTAAATGCATTTTGAATCTAAATAAGTGTATTTAAAAAGGAAACTGCATCATAACCTTAAATACAAAAACATACACAAGATGATATTAAAAATATATGCAATGAAAACAAAAGATAGTTATCAAAACTTAACATGATCCTTTTGCTTGCCAAGGACTCTGAGCCTGAGAGCTACTTTCCACTTGTTAGGAATTTGAGACTTGTTAAAGGTAGAGTGGGACCAGGAGTTTTTCTCTTTAAAGTAGGCAGAGGAGTGCAAGAAATAATTTGAATTCCCTTGTGGTAACTCAAGCTGTTTAATACTGTCCCAGTCTCAGGCACGCCCATGGAGCACAACCATGTTGGAAAACATTGTCTTCCAGCAGCAATATTCTGTTCTGATTAATGGTAAATCTAAGTTAAATGCAAAAATTGACCTGAGGCATTGCCTTTTGAATATGCAGACTTCCAAGAAGTTTGTTAAATAATCAGTGTACTCACTATTTTTGTACAACTCAGCTTTTAATCAGCTCATGGTACCTAAGTATTGTATTTATCATCACACAAAAAGCACCTAGAAAATATTGTTTTGCATATGTCTCGTTATATATTTTGCTTTCTCATTATTATGATTTGTTACAAGTGCCTTCTTACCTTTTCATCTTCAGTGTCATAAAAACCAATAGATAACCCCTTGTCCACTTTGCTGACATGGATGCTTTATTGCTGCAGTCTGGCTGGGCAAAATAACGGGGGGGGGGTGACAAGCAACTTGTGAAGGTTGAAACAGCAGGAGCCCCTTTATTGTAGGACAGCAGAGGTATTTATACCTAACTCTTTGTTTCAATTAACACCATCTAGGTACATCAATTAGTCAATTAGTCATTAAGAAATCCTCATCATCTTAATAATTACACACAGCTTAACTTAATTAACATCATCTAGATACAGCAGTCAGTCATTAAGGAATCTCCATCATCTTAATAATTACACACAGCTTAACTTAATTAACATCATCTAGATACAGCAGTCAGTCATTAAGGAATCTCCATCATCTTAATGGCTCGCTGGCGTTACTTCTCAAACCACTCCTCCTGGTAAAGTGCCAGGCGCCATCTTGACTTGTCTGTGGCCCTCAACACTTTATAGTTTGTTCTTCCATTCCAGTCTGTTCTGAAGAACCACTGAATCACTTGTACTTCTATCTCTGGCCCTTTGGATTAATCTGTTCTTTCTCTCTTCTGCCCCCCTCCCCCCACCTCAGCTCTCCCTCAGGTATGAGTAGAATGACTGTCTATCCACATGCTTAGGAAATTCCTACTCCTAAGTATGTATCAGAGTCAGTTGAGAGAAATTTTCTAAAATGCAGACTTCTCTCCCTATCTTCCCAGGGCTGGTGTGAACCTGGGAATCTGTATTTATTGAAAGTAACTGATACGATCCTTATGTAGTTAGTTTTTGGATCTTTGGAAAAAAAAATGACTCAGCTAAGGATCCTTCTCCCCCTCCTCCTCCTCTCCCCTTCCTCCTCCTCCTCCTCCTCTTTCTCCTCTTCCTCCTCTTTCTCCTTCTTCTTATGCAACAAGGTAATTGTGCCTATTTAATTGACAATTAATTAAACCTCATTACAAAACTCTTCCCACCTCACAAATGATTACTGTTTTTCCCAATGGATAGAGAACCCCAATTTGGGGGACAGAATTGAGCAAAAGTCCCAATTTACAGCACAAGATCCACCATTAGCTATAAGTTAGTCCATGCCTCTACATTGCACTTTGCTCCTTATCCGAAATGGAAATAATACTCTGTATGTTCCTCCCTTACAGACTTGTGTTAAAGATTTAATGTAGAAAAATGTATGAAAAGGTGTTATAAATTGCAAAGGATTTCATCAAAACTAATAAAACAAGAAACTGCATTTAAAAAGCTCATCTGTTAGAATATTGGAGAAGTAGTCTTTTTTAAATGATGTTTTGCATCAGGGACTTTGAGTAGCTCTGCCAATGTTTTTGATCAAGCATATGTTTGAGGAGAGACAGTTGTGATCTCACTGCATTTTAAGTTGTGGCATCTCAGCCCTACCATGTCCTATTCTACTCAGATATGTTTAACAGCATTGCAATGTAATTTTACAGATTCAAAAATTGAGGTCTTTCATCTTCTTTAATACAAATGCAAAAAAAAAAAATTACCCTCTCTGGGTTTCCAGCAAACCCTCTTCCCTCCACATGGAATATAAAGTATCAGATACTAACAATAGAATATTAAAAGCCAAATTTGAAGCAATTATCTACAGCTTTGGAGAACAGTCCCACACACAGCTGCCACCCAATCAGAAGGCCTGTGTCTGTCACCCACCATCCCTGCTACTCACAGAATCAGAATGTCAGAGCTGAAAAGGATCTTGGAGATTCTTCTCCCCCTCACTTAACAAATGGGGAAAGTGAGGCACAGGAAAGGGACTGTGTCATCAGAGTCACTCAGGTGGAGGCTAAAAGGCTTTAGAAGCCTTGTCCCTGTCTTCTGATGTATTGCTTTACTGCTTATTGTGCTGTACTCTGCCCCTTCATGTGCAGGTTTAGTTGAGGGACCTTGAGCTGAGAGTGAAAGGTGCCCCCTGGGTGTTAAAGCCCTGAGCATGGAGTGTGATCTGCTGCACTGGAAGGCAGTCTCTACTGCTGTGGTACAACACATCCTGAATTTTTTAAACTTGTATGAAGCTCTAAGAGGTAGATGACACTAAACTGTTAATTGTTAATAATTACATCAGTATCATAAGGTGAACATTGACTGTTATGGGTCAACCAGGACATTAAGTCACTTTTTGTCTCTTCCCAAGTCCCTGTTGGCCCCACTGACAGGGAGATGCTGTGAGTCTTCCATGGAGTTAGAGGCTGGGCTGCTGTCCTTTCCACGGTGCCTCTATTTGGCTATATCACTGTATTCTGAATACACAGGAGTGGCACCAGCCATTAAATAGCAATTGTAGAATGTTTTATACAGGTTTTTCCTTGCTGTGACCAAACAGACTTGACAAGAACAATTTTAGAGGAGGAAACATTTATCTGGAGCTCCAAGTTTCAGAGGTCTCAGTCTGAGGACAGCTGGCTTCATTGCTGTGGGCCCAAGATTTGGCAGAACATCATGGCTGCAGAGTGTGGTGGAGAAAAGTGGCTCAGGACCTGGCACCAGGAAGCAAAGAGAGTTCCTCACCAGGGACCAGGCAAGCCCCCCCCCCATCCTCCAGCCACACCCTACCTGCCTACGGTTACCACCCAGGTAATCCTTGTCAGGCGATTAGCACACTGATTAGGTTAAGGCTTTTTTAACCCAATCATTTCACTTCTAAACCTTCTTGTATTTTCTGCACACATGAGCTTTTTCGGAAACATCTCATATTTAAACCCTAACAGAGATTCTTTTCAATCTTTATTTGACTCCCTAGAAGAATTTTTCAAGAGAGCCAATATAAGCTTTGGGGATACTTCTCCAAGACCCTGTTGCCCTCTTTCCAGGCTCCACACACCCGTTCCACGCCCCCAGCTGTGCCTTTCTTCGGTCTCTGTCTTCGTGCCTAGTCTTCCATCCTTTCTTCTCAAGGATCTTCTTCACCATGTTTACTCACCCTGCACCTCTGTTTGAGCATGTGCCCCCTAATTTCTTCCCATCTTTGCAGGGGTTTTGTTTTGATTTTCCTTTTCCACGTGGTGTCTTCAGTTGTATGTCACAGAAAAAAACATGAGCCCCATTGGCAGTGGCTCTCTGTCGTGCAAGAGAGGTTATGGGGAAGAGTCCCATCTTAACCTCTCAGGCATACTGTGTTGCAATGAAAGGGGAAGGCATGTCACACTACAGGCTTCCCACAAGTGGGACAGATATAACATCACCCCCTACATATTCGTCTTACCCTGTAGTTTGCTTGTAGGGGGACAAGGAAATTTGAGAGACAGCAGAACTGAACACTGGATTTAATGGGATAGTTCTCAAGATAATAACAATATAGCAGAACAACTAAAAGCACAATAACGCACCATAATTTCTAGGTACCTAGAAATTATGCTACCTATAATTACTGCTCCCTAGAAATTATGATCTTCCCATGTGCTTGCAAAATCCTTAAAGTCTAGTCAAAATAGACCCAAATGTAAGTTCTGACCTTGTCATTTATTAACTGTCCACATTTGAACAAATTATTTAAACTCTCTGAAAACTCAATCTGGTAAATGGGCACAAAATACATGAATCAATGCATATAATGCACCTGGTTTCTTGCCTGACCAAGGGTGCTGCTCTAAGGGGTGGCTTTCTTTATTATTGCTAATTGTGATAACAACAACAAATATGCTACAAATAGAATTTGGAAAAGAGATGAGCAATCCTCTCTTCCTTCTTTTCCTTCCTTCCTCTCTTCCATTCATTTTTTACTATTAATAATCATGTTCAACAAATGAAATAGATAAAAATATAAGGGACACATAAAGACATGAGGGCACATCTTGAGTCATCCAGATAACTTCCACTTTCAAATGGCACATGGAATATGTGGACTATTTTGATTCAAGAATGAATCAAAAGCTATGTTCAGAGCAAGTAGCAAACCCAGAAATAGTTAGATCTCATTACTTAGGGAAGAAATATTGCATATTCTGCTGCAATAAGAATAGACTTCCAACTGTAAATAAGAGCCTTATAGGAAGAAAGTTGCTGTCCAGAATTGGGGGAAAGCATTTAACTATCTCTGAGCCAAGACATATCATGTAACTCAGGATCTTAAAGGCTGGTAGATAACACCTCTGAATGGTACTGTGCTAGGACTGGGGAAATAGTGGAAGCCCAGAGACCAGTAAATATTGCCCCAGCCTTCTCAAGAAAGATGAAAACTAGATTCCAGAAACTAGACTCAAATAAGTTTTTACTAAAATTCTAAGAAATCTATTGCACAAATGATTCAAGAAGAAGAATCAGTGTTATTTCATTTAAAAAGTTCATTCCAAATAAGTTTCTCATCAATTAGGACAGACTTGATGTTTAGCAAAATATTTCAACAAGGCACTGGGCAACATCTGCCATAGGTTGGTCCATTTTCAGGCTTGTCAGGGATTATGTTCAGGGGTGGGAAGAAAGTCTGGTGGTGGTGTACCATGATTCTCCATTTTATCCCTGTCCTGCTCAATATTTCACCTTAACTGAAAACCTAAAAGGCAGATGACAGTACACTCTAAGACCTAGGTAGCACAATAGACTGTTTGATCTTCCTATGTGCTTGGCAGAATCCTTGAAGTCTAGATTTAGTAGGTGCAAAATAATAGTCATCTTAAAAGTTGAAAATTCTATAATTTAGAACACTCTCAATTGACCAAGCCTGTAAAATGAAGCTTAACTGAGAAAAATGTGATATCCTTGATTTTGGCTCAAATAAATAAATAAAGCCCACTATAATGACAGAGGAAAGAACCATAGAAAAGGAATTGACAACTGTTGTGTCCAAAAGAATAAAAGTTGGCAGCAAAACTCAGGATCAGCCAATTGTATATCACCCTTGTTATAAATGAACTGAAATTGATGCATTCATTTAAGTGAACCAAACTCATAATGAAATGTACATGATATGCCAGGCTCACTGTGAAAATTTGTGTTTCTTCTGTTATTGTATGTTAAGAAAAATCATCATAATATGAACTGTGATCAGAAGACGGCATTCATTATGGGATATAATCTGGAAACCTGTAATATATAATGGATTATTAAATAAATTGGAAATGTATATGTAGGCTGGAGAAGAGAAAAATTGGAGGATATAATCGGCAGAGGGCGAATTTTGAGTGAGTCTGATGGGCATGGTAGTTTCACTGGGTAGCCAAGGCAGATCTTGAAACCTCAGTAGACTATTGGTAGCAGCTAAGGTCGTTCAAAACTAACTGCAGGCTGCTCTGCCACTGGAGAGTCCTAGGTGGAAGCTGAGCATGGCACAAAAGCTTCCTGCATTGGGTGGGCTCTTTCACAACCTGTTCCTTGACATCCAATCCAACACTGAGGTTCTCTAATCTTCTCCTCTCCAGGGATGCAGTGGAGTGTGGTGGCCAGTGGGAGAGTCAGTGCCACCCCCCAGCAACTTCTCCTCTGGTGGCTGCTCAGCCCAGTGACACTTAGACCCGGGGGACAGTGACCAAGAAGACAGCTGTGGCTCCAAGAGAGGGCCAGGTCCTAAGCTGCTGCGTGTGCCTGACTGCACCTGGCATTCACGTCACCAGAGGCCTTCCTCCTCGGCTGGTGCAGGCGCCCCTCGCACGCCAGGCTTTTCCTCCGAGATTCCAGCAGTTGGTGATTTGAGGGAGTCAGGGGACAGAAAGGCCTTGGTGCACTTTTCATTCTCCAACATTCCATCTTCCTGGAGTCTCCACTCTTGCTTGACAGTCTCTAGTATTCCTGACATGTTCCTCTCGCTGTGACTGTGTCTCAGTCTTGTTCCAAGCACTCTTGCTCACTGTGTCCTATCTCAATCATAGATGTTTCCAAATATGCCTTCTTTGCTGTATCTGCTCACAGAAAACACATCTTCCCTGTGCCTGTCTTGGACATAGTTGTGTTCCAAGTGCTCACATTTCTGGCTTGGTCACATCCGTCAGAGTCATGTCCAAACTACCTACTGTTCCTTCTTCGTCCTGTTCTGTCCCAGATGTTCACACTCTTTCCTCCCTGTGTCTGGGTCCAAACAAGCATCCTCTTGGCCAGCCCCTGTCTTGGTCACAGACTTCTACTTGCTCTTTCCTTTGTCCACTGTCAGTCTGTCTCTTCAGGACATGCTCCATTTATTTACCACAGAAGACACAGGAGTAGAGACTGTCCGTGGAACATGGTCTCTGCAGCAAGCCTGGAGTGAGCTGAAGACAGACGGTTTATCCTAGTGCGGGGGCCATGGGCCCATTTGCTCTGAGATGCTCATCCTTTTGTTGGGTTAGAACCGGACATCTCTTAGCGAGGCTAGGGCAGGGTGTCAACATTGTACATGTTTACTAAGAGACTTTGAGATCTTTCTGTGAGCTTGTGGTGAAGGCCACAGTACCAACTGAAAACCCTTGAACTGGGCTTATTCCTCCCACAGGAGGAAACTTTGGGAAGTTCTCACTATGTGACCTGGTCACCCTCATAGTTCCTCAGGTGGGGGAGCACAGAGCTCAGCAATGCTGGGAACACACACACACAAAAAAAACAATGTTTGACTTGAAGCCAGCGGATCTGATGCCAGCTCTGGCTCTGCTCCTGATAGGCTGTGAGATCTTAAACAATGTCCTTCCATCTCTGAACCTCACTTTCCACAGCTGCATCCCGAAGCTTGGACTAGGGTAGTAAGATTTCTTTCCATTTCTAGGATAACAGGAAACTGTTACAGCCATCTGCTACCTCGAAAAGCCATGGCCTGCCTGCCTGTTGGCTTTGTTCCAAAGGAACTACTATCCATTTGGGCCTCCTCAACCCCTGACCTTGTCCAATCAACCTGGTTGTCGTTCACGCATTGATGAGTCCGTGGCTCTTGCCACTGGCCTAGAGCAAAGGTCCCAAGGAGGGAGGGCCACTTCCAAGAGCTGCTGTAGAGCTTGAACATTCATTATGCCCATGGTCTGATAGCATCTCAGGATTATTTATCATACTCTTTCATACTGTCTTCTCTCTTGCTGCTCATGAAGCATCATTTATCATTTCCGTTGATGTTTACTCAAGTTCTAGAATGGAACTTGACAGGAAAGAGACTTGGAATGAAGAAGAGAAGATTCTGTGTCTTGTGAAGGCTGAGTTTTGTTGGGGAGAAAGCCACGCCTTAGAAAGGGAAGCCGCCTTGGAGCATGCACCCTCATTGACAGACCCCGACTGCTGCTGGGAAACTGTGCTCCCTGCCGAGCCACTCCTTGTGGAGCCTGGGACTCTGGGTCATCAGCGTAGCAGGGGATCTATTCTTCTCAAATGTGAAGACAGATTACTTAAGTTCTAACTTGCACCCTGACACTGTTGTGGGACCAGTCCCCTTTGATTTTCCAAGTCCCTGCTCTGGGGTCATCACCAGGCTCAGCAATCCCCCATCACTCAGAAGCAACCACCATTTTGAGGATAGTTTTTCTGTAATACAAAGAAGGGAGCATCAAGTTTTTGAGATCGCAGCTCTGGACCCAATGAAGAGACTCAAACAATCTGCCATGGCTGCCCATGCACCCTACGTACCTGCTGTCTCCGTGAGCACGCTGCTGAGGAGGGCTGTAGCATAGAAGTGGCAGGTGCACTGAATCAACGAATAACTGAGTGAATCAAACTAATTGCTGAACACCTCTGGCTTCAGGGGGAATGTCTTCTGCCTATTTCATAAAGTTGATGTGGAGATTCAAAAAAAAAAATCTTTGTGAATGCATTCTATGAATCATAAAATGGCATCCCACTGTGTTCTGGATGTTTTGAGTTACCGTGATTGTGCCTGAGCGCTCAAGGGCTGAGTTTATTTAGTTTAGAGAATGAACTTTTTATGTCAAAAATGATATGGGGGGTAGGAGGATGCTTTTTAAGTACCAATTCTTCCAAGTCTGCCCCTCCTCATTTGGTCACTCCAGGTTTCCCAAGAAACAAATTCTTAAACCACAAACACATTCATTTAAAGGGATTTTGTGGTTCTCCAAAGTAAAGGGGTAGATGGAGAAAATGGAAGATTATAGGCTAATTTGGGTAAGAATGAGCCTGATTTTTCATGTCATTTCAAAGTCATATCAACTTAAATCACATGCCTGCTTGTCATGAAAAAATATATGTATTTGAAGGAAAAACTACCTGGGCCATTGAAATCATTTCACTTTGTAAATTGAATATATATATACATATATATATATGAATTTTATTAAAAAAGAAAAAGCAAACATGGACTACACTATAAATGGCCAGCTGAAAAGAAGGTTGCATAAATGTCTACTAAGACACTGAATCAGATAACTTTTGACATTGTTCCTGTCTGTGTAAATGAGTGTTAATTATGGTTTAATGCTATTTTAGCAAACACCTTAATTTTGTTTACATTTTTAATAAAGCAGAGTAACAAATGGGACAACTTTGTACAGTTTATAATGCACTGAGTCCCCTTGTATAATCACTATACAAAATACATGTGGGCCATGATACAGATCATGGAACTTCATTTTACAATTTCAAAGGATTACAAACTTTGATAATGGTTGTATCTTTGGTTTTATGAGATTGCTACTTCTGTCTGTGATTATTTGTAGCAAAGGCTTTGAAGATACCGGGATCAATTCTAACTTCATTCCCATGGAAAGCTCCCTTGGCTTTATGATTGCCTATTTTTTGATGCAGTTCCCATGAATGTGTTCTTGGAAAAACAGGAACCTACACAGTTTTTTTTAATAGATAAATTCTATTTATTGATTAAGTTGATAAATGACATGTATTTATTTGAATGCATTCTGTACATGTTTCTATAACTTATATATTAAAGGAAAGTATAAGTCCTAAAGCTAATAACTGAATTTTGAAAATGCAATAAAATTCCAAAGTCGATTCCCATGTCTCAGAACTCTGGAGCTTCTCTGTTGTCCTAGGAGCTCAGTGCATTGCCCAGAAGCTTCATTTGAAGCAGAAGTATTTTGTCTCCAACATCAATTCCCTTCAAAACAAAGCCAGAGCTCGGGGCCTCCATTTGATATGATCCTACCTGCGCAGCTAACTCTGTGTCACTTTCTTCAAGTCTGCAAGCACTAAATCTGACCTCTCTGACAAGGTCACCCCATGAGCAGAAGATAGCAATTTCACCCAGTCACTCAGGACACAAATCACAAGAAGCCCTTCACTGCAGTGAAACGTTGTATACCTAGAGGTCTTGGCATGAGAGGTTTATTAAACATTTACCTCTGAACTGAAAGTGGGTTTTTCCCCCTTTAATTTCATGTTATGAACTGCCCAGGCGCCATATGACCAGATTATGTGTCAATGAAATCCAGATCCCTTCTCTTCTGACTGTGGGGCAATAGAGAGATCCCACCAAAAGTAGGGAGCAGAGAGCTTTTGAGGGCCTCTGTCTTCTTCCACTTAAAATGCAGGAAATAAGCAACAATTAAGTTTACAAGTCAGAATCCTTTCTTAAATCCCATTGCATAAGCAGTTCAAGCAGGATGGGGAAGAGTTAGGTCTGGATCTTCATCTCTGCTGGTTCAAACCATGCCCTGGAAGGAGCCTTCTTGGGATCCTAAAGCCTGGAACAGCTGGACCAGGAAATTTCCTCTAAAGGTCTGTGAGAGCACATGTCCCCTCCCCCCTCCCATTCTTAGTTTTTCTGAAACAGTGTTCATAACATTGCTGTGAACTGTTTTTTCCAGATGACAACCTTTACTTCAGAATCATTCTTCTCACTTAGTTAAGAAACCTTTTTCTCTATATATAGATCACCCTACCTCCTGAACCTTCCTCCCTAGAATGAAACTGGAGCCTTCACCATGTGCAAAAAGCACCTGCTGCATCCAAGCAGATTACAAGATCCTAGAAATGTCCTGCACAAGCTGTCTCCAGACCAACCTACCTTGAGAGACTGTCTTTCTCACTTTTCTTTCACATTGTCTCTCTTCACTTTGGAAGAGACATCCAAGGGAGAGAAACTAGCATTGACATTTCTATTTGTGCTATGGTTTTCATTCAACAGGTTTTTTTTTTTTTTTAACACAATATGCCAGGGTCTATTGCCAGAAGTCTGACAAAGTCTCCTCTGAAAGCTAGAAAATAAACAAGGAAACATGTACATCTGAATAAAGCAAGTTTAGATACTGACATATGCTTTAAAGAACATAAATAAATGTGGCTCAAGCGGTAGCGCGCTCGCCTGGCATGCGAACGGCGCTGGGTTTGATCCTCAGCACCACATACAAATGAAGATGTTGTGTCCGGCGAAAACTAAAAATTAATATTAAAAAATTTTCTCTCTCTTTAAAAAAAAAGAACATAAATAAAAAGTAGGGATCAGCAAGGGAATAATGGTGTACTTTCACGTGGAATAATCAGGGAAGAATTGAAGGAAGAAGTAAGCCCACTGACTGGGGACAAGACGGCATCTGTTATATATTTGATCTGGAGGAATATCATACTGGGCAAAGAGACAGCAAATGCAAATGCTCTGGGGGCAGGAATGAGCTTGAGGGGTGTTTGGTGCTCAGTGAAAGCAGGAAAATGGCAAGGGTTAGGATGAGAGAAGTAAACAAAGCCTGATCCTAGTTCACCAGTTATTTATGTGTGTCCAGCTTGTCCAGGTAGGAAATGGTTACACATTACATGGTTTAGCCCTATAAGGTAAGTATCCTTTTCCTATCACATGGATAAAGAAACCAAGCTGAACAGAGATGTTAACCTGGTATTTGCAGACACTCCCTGGAGCTGGAAATGGAAATGGAAATGGAAAGCAGATCCTGCCAGGTCAAGCCTTCAACCCCTCCATCACTTACTGAAACGTCATGGTCCACCTGTTCTCTCAGCATGAACTATCGTTAAAATGTATGGACTCTCTCCTTGTGCACTTCCCCCTTGCCTCCCTTTTCCTCTCCATGGAGTGTTGGCTGTCTGTCAACAAATACAGATAAATTTATAAAGAAGTTCTTCATTTATAAATAGGTTCTTCATTGGTTTTCAGTCAACTAATTCCAAATAGTATCTGATTGGAAGGGGAAAAAAAAACAAACTCTCAGCCAGCCAGAAAGTGGTTTCCTATTAAAACTATTGATCTTATCAGAAACAAGGGAAATTCAGCTTGGTTATATAATCAGGTTTTCTCTAGCGGGTCCTTATCTCCATTCTTACTGACATCATCCTTTCATGATTGACATGATCTTTCATCTTGACTTGGGCTTTAGGCTCTAAAATAAAACTTTTTAGAGTGTTCCATGACCCCATCAAAACTCCTCATGGACTCCTCATCACCTACCAGATTCTAAGCTCTCCATTTTTCTAAGTGTGGTGATGACAGTTTTGCCTCCACTTATTTCTCCTCATCTCTGCAAAGCAAGCAGTCTGCTCCGTGTTCCACATGCTTTCTCTGGCCTTTATTTTTACATTCAGGCTGCAGGTCCAGCTGTTCTTTCCACTGGGCACATGTCCCTTGGCATCTCTTACATGGTGCATCTCAAATGCCACTTATCCTTGAAGGCTTTTCTAGGCTCCAGGACAGCAGGGAGGTTTTGACCTATTCTAATCCCCAAATGCTTTATTCTTCTCTGACATTTTGGTATGCTTTTCAGTGCCTCTTCTTCATGATGCCTTTTCTGAGCTCCCCTACCAAATTTTGAGATCCTTGAGGAACGGCCACTTCTTATTGCATACCTTTATTTATTTTTTCCTCCTTAGTGCCCAACACTAGAATTTTATACACTGAAGCTACCTGGTAAATTCACTGAATTTATTTGTCTATAAGAATTCAAAGCTTTAAATTGTTAACAACATCTTCCCTGCATCATCCCACTTTATTCTCTCAGCCCCAAACTTCACTGTGGCCTGCTATTTAATACTCCACCCACTGCAAAAGCTGCAGTCTTCTGATAAGAGGAAAATCTTTCTGTGACAAATTTTTAATAAAATCAAGATGTTTATCATAGTTCTTGCAAGTAGAAAAAGGATTAGAGTTTGAAAATACCATTACTTCCCTGCTTTATTGCAAGTTTCTTTTCTGGTCCATGTCTGTCTATTGAAAACGAACTTAAGCTTAGAGGTTTGTATTTTTAGAATGCAGTGATGAATCAGACTGAAATTGTGTGGGTTATTTGACATTATATAATCCTAGAGGACACTGGCCACCATTTTACCACCGATGGCATTTGTTAAATGACATAGAGTGAACAAAAGGTGAATTAGGTCATGAATGTGGCCATCCATGACTAGGTTACTCAGGCTAGGATATACTAGAGAATCTTCAAAAGATGTCAGAAATGTCTACCTCCCCCCAGCATCCTTACTAAATTTCCTTATGTCAGGGCACAACCTTGCCCATTCTAACTTCAGTTTTGCCATCTATAAATTGAGATATTTTCTCTAGTTAAGAACTTGGACTTTGGCAACTTTTAGCATTAGCTAGACATAGACTGACATCCAGGCTTTACTAGTTACTGGTTGTGTGACTGCAGCCAATTTTCATAAATCTTTAAACTTCAATTTCTTTTTTTCTTTTTTCTTTTTCTTTCTTTCTTTTTTTTCAGAAGAAACACAGTGGTTTAAAGCAGATAAAGAAGGGCACACAGTCTCTGGCACACAGTAAGCTTTCACTGAAGTGTAGCGGTTGCTATTGTTACTCTGGATTCTGTGACATTCAAAATGCATAAACAGCATGTCGAGTCATATGGTGAGGGTATTGAGAAACCAGGAGCAGGGAAGTGGTAGAAATTGCAGACGGTGATGGTTTCTATGCCAGGTATCTAATCTGACAAAGTGCAGGCCGAGAAGACAATAAAGAAGACGGAGATGTTAAGGGATGCAGTTATGGAGTCTGAGAAGGATACACAGAAGGATACCCTGGATGGAAAATGAAGTCTAGCTGTCATTCAGTGCCTTGTTACAGAGAGTCTAAGAAAATGTCTCATGATCTTCTCCAATTCACATGCCTTTTTCTTATAGGTAACAGTCATGCCTCATGTTCTAGGAAGGTAAAAGAATGAGACTTTATTGAACATCACAGAAATGTCAGTACTGCATAGACACTTTACATATCTAATAATATTTAATTTTTCAAAAAAAGTATCAACTGGATTGAATTCCAGCTTTCCAACTTGTTAGTTGTATTTCTTTGGGCAACTTAATTAATTTCTCTGAGCTTTAGTTCCTTCGTAAAAATTAATAAAAACAGAGATAGTTAATAGTACCTAACTCATGAGGTTGTAAAATAAAATTACATATATGTGTATGTGTGTGTATTATATGTGTGTGTGTGTATATATATATATATATATATATATATATATATAATTGCAATTAGAATGTTGCCAGTCAAAAATAGATAGTTTCCATTATGCTTTTTATTAGTAATTTTACATAACTCCCATTTATGGAAAAGTTAAATGAGGTTTAATGAGACAAAGTTTCTGACCAGAGATTATACAAATAATAATAAGCAGAGCCAGGACACAAACCTAGTTTTGCCTGTCCTTAGAATCCACACTTATTTTCCCATATGTCTAGAAGGTGAGAGACAGAAGCAATAGAATCAACCTTAAAGACATATTACCTTTCCCAAGCTTAACATTTTGTAATATGAATAACTGTCTAGCAGCTTCTTAGACAAATAGCCATTTAAATTGATCCAGAGCCTTGAATGAAAGGAAAGCATTGTCTATATTGTTTAGAAACTCTGTTGAGATTGGATAATTTCATTCTAATTGAATCTTTCTTAGTACAAGTGTCACTTATGTCACTTATATCATTTAGCCTTGGTCCCCTGAATTAGCATGATAGTCATCAGTATATGATCTCCTGTCAACAGTGTCCAATCAGGGCCCATGTGCCATTGCTTAATAATGGAATTCTTAGCAAGAACACACACC